TCTATACACACACACACACACACATATATATATATATACATATTAATACACGTTTGTTATATATATATATATATATATATGTGTGTGTGTGTGTATGGGATTTCGATGGGTTCATTGTCAGGGTTGCTAGAGGGATTTTGAGGCTTCGAGGGTCGAGGCCCTGCCGTTGAGGGTGGGGTTTTCGGGTTTAGGAGCCCAAGGGAAAGGAGTTTTTGGCTCGGGCAGTTTTCTCGTGGTTGGTTTCGGGTTTAAATTCCGGGCGAAGTGGAAAGCCTGTTGTAACAGGGTTTAATGTTTTTTTTTTTGTCTGTCGGTTTTCCCCGGCCGAATACAGATACACACACACATACACACACACACACACACATATATATATATATATATACGGACATATAAGAACAACATATATATATATATACACACATAAATAAGCATCAACGAATAATGTATCTATACACACACACACACACACATATATATATATATATATACATACATACATATTAATACACGTTTGTTATATATATATATATATATATGTGTGTGTGTGTGTGTGTATGGGATTTCGATGGGTTCATTGTCGGGGTTGCTAGAGGGATTTTGAGGCTTCGAGGGTCGAGGCCCTGCCGTTGAGGGTGGGGTTTTCGGGTTAGGAGCCCAAGGAAAAGGAGTTTTTGGCTCGGGCAGTTTTCTCGTGGCTGGTTTCGGGTTTAAATTCCGGGCGAAGTGGAAAGCCTGTTGTAACAGGGTTTAATGGATTTTTTTTTCTGTCGGTTTTCCCCGGCCGATTTCCCAAGGCCGGATGCAAAACGGGTTGAATGTTCGAGAAATTATAATTAGGCTCTAGGGTGGTTTCAGGTTTTACGGGAACTGTCAGGGTTTATGAGGTTCAGGGAGTTGAAGCGATGGAAACGGTTTCTTGTTCGAGCTCGAAAGTGTGAAGACAGCCTAGGACAAAAATCCCGTTTTCAGGTCAAGAGGTCTCGAGGGGTTTTCGGGTTTAGTTCTTTGAATCATTGAAACGAGGCGCACCAGTCTTGAAGTAAAAAAGGTGTAGAGGCTCGAGGTTCTAGGAAAGCTTAAGCTCAGCCCGGCGACGAGAGCCGAGGCTGCATGTGTGTGTGTATATATATATATATATATTGTGTGTGTGTTTATTTATATCAGGTACGAGTATATATGCATAACTATACTATAAATATACATATAAAAAATACACATAAAACTACAAGAAATAAGGAACGAACCAAGCAAAATTAAATGAGTAAATTAAGTGCATGAGTAAACAATTACCAAAAACTAATTAGATATCATAAATCTAAATCAGTAATTGTAAATATAGATATAAGTAAATACAGAATTAGATATCGATATATAATAGGTGCTTGCAGGTTGGGAGATCTTGCGGGAAGTCATGGATGCCGCCGCGCGGCCGGCCACTCCGCTGTGGACCCCTCCGCCCAGCGCTCGAGGTGCAGTGCGGGATCAACTGTTTTTGTCGTTTAGCGCTCTTGATCAAGGAAAGAAAATCTATGTGTTTCTGGTCAACTTGAAGCAAAGCAAAGCTTTTGTGGCAAAATTAAGAGACAAGTGTAAGCAAAACGTCCCAAAACCGGCTTACCAGGCTAAACAGCATCCAGAGGCACATTTTACCAGAAAGATCTTTTCCTAGAGCCTTTTGAGCGTTGACGGCCCAATGGTTATTTTCTCCGCGTGTACCAGATGTTCTGTGCAGGTACTTCCATGTGTCTTACATTTTCCGTTTTTCCAGACATTGACAATGGGTTCCGCGAACCACAGCCTTTTGGAACTTCGTCCAAGCCGGAACGCGAGCTTGAAGGGCATCTAGCGCATCAGAGCATCTCTGGCAGCAGAAGCAACCCGAGACTTCGTTTTTCCATGTATGTGGCTAGGAGGACAACGAAAGTCAACATTCCTTGGGCCCAAACGACACCAAGCCCAACAACTATCGCTAAAGCTGAAGGGCCTCAGGTGAGAACGGTTTTGGCGACGAGATGTCTACCAAGTACTCACACTGCAACCAAGCAAACCCAGAGACAAATCAGATCGAGAAGTTTATCCGAGCCCGTGGCTGCGAAGCCAATCCCGAAGTACGAGTCAGTGTTTATCTTTTTGTAAAAACATATACACAGATTCAGACACACACATGCGCGCACACACACGCACACACGAATATACAAATGCATATATGTTTATATAACTATATAAGTATGTATATATATATATATATACGAAAACGATGTACAGACTGTGCATATATATATATATATATATATATATATATACGCGTGTGTGTGTGTGTGTGCGTGCGTGCATGCCATGCGTAAGTACAGTAAGCATTCGTTCTTGACACGGATGCTCAGCGCGATGTGCAAGAATGCGCCCTTGCAGGGCCCTTGCAACCCCTTGCCCCACGGACGTGGCGAGGCGTCGAAGTGGCGTCAGCGCTCGGTCTTAGAGACCTGAAGCGACCCCGAAGGCCAGGTCTTCTGAGGGTAGTTTCCGTTTAGGGCAAACAGGGCCCAGTGGGGGATGCTTAGGACTTCTCTGAGACTCTGAGGCTGGTTGGCCTCGAGTTTAGCGCGGAGATCGTCCGGATAGAGCCAGGAGTCTCGCCAGTGAGAGTGTTTTGAGTGCGGCGCTCTGTCTCGGAGAGTTCTAGAGCCCCACCTTTGAGGTAGCTCCTGCTGCATGCTGCTCCTGACTGATGGGGCCAACGACCTCACGGCTGCTCAGATTTCTGAAGCTGTGGCCGAGCACCAGGCAAGGAAGGAGGGAGTCCGACCACAATTTCGACTTATTGAAACTGGGGTTTGAGACGGCCGTAAAGTCGCCGTATCTAGTGTCGAGGGCCGATTGAAACGGAGCTTTTGCTGATGGTCCAAACCCGCAGGCGCTCCCTTGAAGCCTCAAGGTTCGATGTTGTAGCCGTGGCTCCTCGCTCTCTGCAGGGGCGGCCGAAGGCTGTGGCGACACAGCTGGCGGCTGCTTGTCAGACGCCAGGCCCTGCAGCCTGCATTGGCTTGCATCTGCATCTGCAGAGGCCCAGATGTGACGTGCCCTGGCAGGTTCCTCCAAAGAGGGGTCTGAGAGCCCATCGCTAGGCATCGCAGACACCGAACCTTGAGACGCGATTTGCGAGATCTGGCGGCCAGGCATACTCACGGCTTTCTTCTCACTCAAGGCGCCGGAGGAGGCTCCTCAGCCGGCGGATAATGAGGACACCAAGAAGAGGCTCATAGAGGGGGCACTTGGGCACTTGACTTGGAGACGAGTTCCTCCGACCTGCCCTTCTCAAGGAAAGCTCCAGAAAAAGAAGTCGCGGTGGTGGTCGGTCCACAGCCTGGTGGCGGAATGCCGAACCGTCTCCTGGACTGCAGAGAAGCGCGGGTTCTGAGTTTGGCTGTCCGGCCTTGCATCCAATCCAAGGCATTCGCGTGGCCCACATACTCATGAAGTGGGAGTCCCTCACCGCGCACGATTCCAATGCCCGCCGGGCTGCGCGGAAGGGGCGAACTCAGGCAGCAGCTCGCCCGCAGATCGAGCGAGTCTCGAAGCGAGCCCTTTGGCTTTGCTTTCGTCTTGAAAGTCTCTTGATCGTCGCTTCTTTAAAGTACGTCGGCCTCGCTTGTAGGATGCCGAGAAGGAGCTCCTGAAGCTACTTCAGGCGAGAGCGTTTGCCACTGCGAGTCGAGAGAAAGTCAGACTCTAAGTTTAGACTGGGCTCTTCAGGTCTTGAACGCCATGCCGCACGGTACGCCAGCTGAAGGCAGAAAGCTTAGTGAGATGCCTCCGCCGAGCCTTCTGTAGACCACACAACATGTGGGACGTTTCGATGAGGCAAGAAGCTCTCGGCCAAGTTCGCTGAGCGGCTTGGCTTCGCCGTTGGCGAACTGACCTAGTTAAAGTATGCCGTTCTTCGTGTGCGTGTGTGTGTGTGTGTGTAGCTGTGAGCAACAGTAAGAGAGCCAGTAACTGGCCCCAGCCCCCTGCCTCGTCCTATCCAAGGCTGTGCAAGGCACGGATCTCGCAACCACAGCCCTCTCCAGACACGTTTGATGCACCTGTGTGTTACAGGCGCACTCGGATTGCAACTCCGCCAACAGCGGCCACATGGCCGACCTGGGTTGGATCGTGCCCGGCCAGTCCGACAAAGACTTCGAAGCCGCGGCCTTCGACCTCCCGGTGCCTCGGCAAGTATCGAAAAAACTTGGAGGAAGCTGGGGCACCGTCCTTGTCTGGCCTTGACCGACCGAGGTCGGAGCCATTAGCGACATTGTGATATCGCAGAGGGGTGCCCACCTCATCCACCGCCTAGCATGAGGGCAAAGCCCTCTCGCGTCAGATGCCCACGAGTGCTTCCTTCCTGCTTAATTAGCCTTTCCATCCAGAATTGACAAGGGAATCGTCTTGGAAAGGTGGGAAGTTCCTGTGGTCGGTTGTGACAGCAGTAGGAAGTGTCAGAGCACACGTGCGATGCGTGGGAAAATGAAGCTGGACATGCACAGAGGGCTACCGCTCTTGAAGAAATGCCTTTCTCTGTTCTAAGACTTCGGGTCGAGGCGTGCCCGAATCGACCTGGTGCGCTGGGATGCTCGAAGGCTGCCGCTGCGAGCTTTTTGTGCCGCCTGGGCCTGGGCCTTTGTGTGTCTAAAAAGGGGAGAGTTTGGATTTTTCTGAGGATCGGCTGCTACTTCACCCACCAGCTGGGAAATTCTTCGGAGCACCGCAGGCACACGCGAGGCAATCCGGGCCCGGCTTGGTGTGGAAAGCGACTGCCTGGCGAACGAGCAGCCTAAGGCTCTATGCTGCCTCCCTCGATGAATGCCGTCGGGTGGGGGCCGTGTCTTCGATCTGTTTTGGCCCCTTGCGGAGCGCCCGCTCCTCGACGCTCTGCAAGGTGCTCCGCCCCCGGGGCCGCGGCCAGCGAGGCGCCCATGCGCCGCGCCTGGCCCTGCAGACCGACGACCGGCTCGGCGCTTATCGCCATCCTCTCTTCGCGTGCGGCGCTCGCGACTAGGCCGGGACAAACCTGTGAAGAATCCAGGGTGCTGGCAGACAAAGCGCTGCCGGTCCATGCTGCCGGCGCGAACGAAGGCTGCATCGTAAGAACCAGCAAGGAGACTGGGACCGGGACTGAAGATGCCTGGCCTTCTTGTATCTTCTTCTGAGATCGGAGTCTCCGTGCAGGACTTGGGCATCGCTTGGGTGCGTCACGCAGAAACCAGACTTCTCTTCGAAGGCTTCCTCTCTTGTGCGAGAGTGCTTGTGACTGCTAGGCACTGGCGTGTTTCTTGCAGGCGATGCAAGCCTAATGTTGCTCAGCACCTGCGTGAAGCCGCTTCGCCAGGCGCAGTGCGGCTAGCCTGCACTGCTCGCACTCCCCCCACGGCCCTGCCCTGCAGGACGGATCCGTCACCAACGCCAACAGAACCGTGTGACCGGAGCCTCCATGGAGTCGTGAGGCTGCCGCCACGAAATGAAACTACTCAGTGTTCTTGTAAATTATGCCCAACACCGGGAATACATGGTCAGGCGCTCCGCTTTCCCCCCCCGTCCCCGCTCTTTTCATGGTCCATGGTCCAGGATTCCCCCACTTTCGCTGTGGGATAGTTGTGAGGTTTTTGGGTCTACGGTTTAGCTGCAGCTTTGAGTTTGGGGTTTAGCGCTACAAGGTATAAGGCTTCGAGTCGACAAGGGCGACCTGGAGGCGAAGATAGGCGAAGGACGAACCCGAGATGATGCCACTGCCTCAGACCGGGTTCCCTTTTTTTCCTGGGTGGTAGCATCTCGTAGCAGGTTGGTGCCAGGTATCCGTCGTGGTGGAAATGCAAGCACGCGGCAAAGGCGCAGCACTCAGCGTAAGCAATCGGCCAGTGACCCGGTTGGCAGGTTTACGACTGGGAGCGCCTGCTACTGTCCACCATTGACGCAGGCCAGCCTGACTGACTCCAAATCCTCGTTCCAGAACTTTCATGCCAGGCGAGCACGTGTACACTGTCTACGAGAAGGCAGGTAATCGGCAGTATTGCTCGATAGACTTTTACTTCAGGCCGCCGCGTGCCCCACCCATAACCAGTTCGAGCGAGCCGTCAACCTCGTGATGACACATCGGCTAAGGCCAGGTAGGGACGGTCTTTTCTTCTTACCTCGTTTTGACCGCGACTGGCAGGACATTGGAGTGGTGGGCGGATGTGTTGCAGATGGACGTGCAGGGGCCCTAGTCGTGCAACTTCTGGCTTGCGTTTCAACCGTCCTCACCTGATCAGACGCCGCCTCAGCAAACTGGGGTCCGAGCATTTGCTCCTCCAGTGGATGCGCAAACCCTCCGCGGCAAGTCCGGCGCTCGGAGTGCTCCAGGGCAGCATACGCTGCAGAAGACCCGCCCGTCAGGACGACGGCTCCAGTGAGGACCAGAGGCACCGGCAGATCTTCCAGCAAAAGAAGGGAGCTCAGGGAGAGTTTCGGGTGTAGGTTGGTTAGGGTTGACGGCCTATGTTCTGCTTTAGGCTTAGAGCCTGCGTTTAGGCCATCTAGGTTGGGTTTATAGGTTGGGTTTAGGGTTGGGTGTAGGGTGTAAGCGGTGTGTACGGTGTAAAAGCACGGGTCAAGGTTAATAAAACGGGAACACGCCCTACGTGATAAGGTTTGTGGCTTGTGTAGGGCTTGCGTAAGATCCCGGCCCTCTCTGTGACCCCTGGCCGCATCCCAGCAGCACCGCTGTAACGAACGGCCCTGACCTCTCTCCGCACACGCCAGCCCCCCCACCCTACCAGACCATACCATTTGGGAGGGGGGGGGGAATGCCAGACGCCTGACCATATATGCCGCTACTTTAAAGATCTTTAAAGTCTGTTGTTAAACATACTCGAGGAAGCTTTCGAAAAGCAGAATTTACATGTGCTCCTGAACAGTCGCATCATGCCGTCGAGCAGCCTTTGCTGTTTGCTTGAGTTTGGCAGGAGGTTGCTTCACTAGAGCTACAGCCAGGGACGACTTGCAGCTTTTGCCGCCAGGCAAGACGAAAGACATCGACGGATCTTGGCAGGGAGCAGGTTGCTGCTATCAGGCCATGCGACCGTCATTCGCGATGTGCAACATTCGCAGATTAGCGGTTTTGCTTCATGCACTTGGCAGGACGTGCGCTGCATCTTATTTCGTGGCTCCTGGAGACTCGAGGCACGCAGACGAGAGAAGTTTCGGCCCAGACGCTAGCTTCACCAGACGTCAGTTGAAATCAGGAGTGATCCTTGCCATCGTTATCGAGACCAGCAGCCTGCGGCCCAGACACCTTCCGAATCTCGCCTATGCCTGCGATGCTCTCGCTCTCGCTTTCAACTGGTGTGTTTGATCAGTGCCGGTGCAGCTTGTGATCGTCAACTGGGCACGGGACCCCTCTTAATCTTAACAGCTTCAGTTCCGTGTCCTCTTGAGGTTATGGGCGTAAAGCACTGGCTCACACGATGATGATTCTTGGCAGCATGCACTTCGTTGGCACGCGTAGATTGGCCCAGAACGTCCATCAGAGCTGTGCCGTGTGTCAACCAGCTCAACTTCTAGACGGACGGGTCCATAGAGGGAGCTCAAGCGCGATGTTTTGACTGTCTCACTCCATGCATTCGCTCGTCAAGAGCCAGCTTCGACGGGGCTTGAGGCATCAGTGCTCGGCTTGGGTTTGATGTTTTGGTGGTGTCCCATTGGTCTACTGGTGCCCTCTGCGGCTCGAATGCCCACTCGCCCCCTGGCGTGCCTGGCCATGCAATGGGACAGCCACCTGTCCAATGCCCAGCTTGAGACTTGAGACGGCTTTCGGAACGGGGTGTGGTCCGTGTGGTGCGCGAAGGTTTAGGCTTCGGATCAAGCTTCTGTTTCCGAGGTCCCTGGCCCTTTGGCGTCCGGCCCGGCGATGGCTCTAGACCGCTCGTTGCACCCAGCCATGCTGGTGTCGCACGCGGTGCAGCCTTAGCCTCCCGAACCCCGAAGTCTGAGCTCCAAATTAAAGCGCAAAAAACTGACAGTCTTTCGATGCTAAGCCGGCAGCTTGTAAGCGCTTTCGAATGAGACACCGAAATCCAGAACACCCCAGAACTGTACATCCGGATTCCTTGACAGAGTCCCTCCCTAAGACGGAACGTCCGACAAGGATATCCAACAAAGTGATCTTGAATCTGGCAATATCTGGCAGAAAAATGGCCGGACACTCAACATGGTCGTCTTGCTACTGTAGTGCTCGCTTGTCATTCTTGCATGTTGTAGTTTCTCTTCCGATGCTTATTCGGTGCAGCTGCAAAAACACAGCTGGTTGCACGGTTTCCGTACTTGTGAATCGCGTGCATGGTGTCCTGTCCATGTAGGGGCGGCACGGCGCACCGCTAAGGCGGCCGCCTTCTCTTTCCATGCATGCTCCTGGCCGAGCATCGTAGAGGCAGCGGCCGGGGGCGTTTTTTTGTGTTTCTAGGCCCAGCCTCGACAGTGACAGTGCGCACGGGCGTTGCTAAGCCTTCTTCGCAGGGTTTGGAGGAGCAGGAGATGGCTCGGATGGCTCGCAAAGCAAAGCGCAGCAGGAGGTAGGGCGGGAGGGCGCAGAGTGCTCGGTCACGCAACGGAGGTAACTTCTTGAAACTCCAGGCCCGACTAGGCCTAAACTCGGAGTTTCGGCACAGGGCCCCGGAGAGTACTACAGCATCTTCCACCTCCCAGGCGCAGCTGGGCAGAGGGGACAGATGCCGTGGGGATGTTAAATGTTGCAGGGAAGATGGCGCCAAGTAAGCGTGCAGACCACACATCAGAGGCTTTGCCATGGTCACAGTCGCCGAGGCAGTCCTAGCATGAAGCATATTCAATAAAATGGGTGTTTGTTTCTGTTGGCTTCCTTCTCGAGCGTGGCCTGTGGTCGGATCTTAGCTTCGTAGCCTTACATCGTTCACGATGTGAAGCGGGTTCAAAAAAGGCTCGAGAGATGAGAGTGATACTCGGACTAAACAGCGGTCAAACGGCGAGTTATGCAGCAGTTCCGCACGCCTAGCAATTGACATTTCCGGCTACAAAAATTCCGTGCGTCACCAGGACAGGACTTCGACAGCTGGTTACCACTTAAGATGTGATGTTGCGGCAGGTAGAAGGATGTGTTTTCCGCATAGGCCAGTTGAGCTTGCATTCATGCGTGCGGCAGCTGTCCATGTCATATGAAACTCCTCAGCTGCACATGGCTTCCAGTTTGCTTCAAAAAGTCCCCCGCATTTC